AGCCCATGATCGTGAAACAGTAAAGATTGGAAACTTATGTTTATCTGTCGCAGTCTACATCATTCGGTTGTGCGTTCATTTCAAGATCCCTTATGCTATGGAGAATCCAATGGGCTCGTACTTGTGGCGGCAAGATAATGTGGCCGCTCATGTTCTTCCGCACTCGTGGGCTATAGACCTGCATCAGTGCGCTTTCGGTGCTCATTGGAGGAAATCCACGCGGATTGTCATCGGCTGCCCCACCGAGTCAGGCAACCTGGCTATCATTTTCCCGGATCGCCTCAGATGCCACGGGAAGCATGGTTTCTGCTCGTTCCGTCCTGGTCATAAACATTTGATTCTGGAGGGTAAAACGATGACCTCGAGGGCCGCCCAATATCCTTATCGTCTGGCAAAGTTCCTCGCAAAGATCCTACTCGACTTGTAGTATGTGCAGTGCTGCGTTCTTCGTTTCTTCGAGGCTTTCTCGCACTACATCAGGGTTGACGCCTTCCCGCACCTCCGTACGGCAATGGTCTGGGTACCGCTGCGCTGAGAACTTCGACTATGCCAAAGAGTTTGGATTTTTGTATTCTGGCTTCTGTCTTGCACGTCTGACGGCTCTCGAGAACCTTGGCGGAATCCATTCGGTATCAGATTGCACCACCGAAAAAACAATCACTAGCATGGTTGTGCGATGCACGGTCTTGCTATGAGTGTTTAGTCTGTTGCACCCCTGCAGTTACCACCCGTTTCCATAACTGCCTGGGCTCAAGCTTGCCCGCCCTCGGCCACCCTGGACCTGTGTACATAGTGCACAGACCTTTCACCTCCTTCTATCCCCTAACGGGGAGCGGATTTTTGTATTCTGGCTTCTGTCTTGCACGTCTGACGGCTCTCGAGAACCTTGGCGGAATCCATTCGGTATCAGATTGCACCACCGAAAAACAATCACTAGCACCGGTGTGCTTGCACCAACGGTGCACTGACCAACATATTCCCTGGTGACCCAAGCCCGGCAGTCTTGCCGGTCGGCAACATCAATTACCCGCAGACTCGGAAGAGCTCCACGCACCAGGTGGGCCTCGTCGTGGGGCGCGCGATTGACGACCACGTGCTGGCGACTGCGAGCGCCTTGGCCGCGGGGGCAGGCCCTGGCTCGGAGCTCAGATTCGCAGGCCGATCGAGCATCTGAGCGAGTCAGCGGCGGATCGGATCGCGGGATCGACCGGGTCGGGCCAACCGCCAGGGGGGATCGACCAGCTCGGCGCGGGAAATGCGATCGCCCAGTCCGATCGCGCGGGGATCTCGGGATGGCGCCTGCGAGGCGACAACGTCGGGGCGTGCGGGAGGGCGGGGTTTGCCCCGTCGGTGAAAGTGGAATCGTCCACGCTCACGAGTTTCACGAAGGCGGCGTTCTTCTTGCGATGCGCCGGGGACTGGGACCAAGTGGCCCCGAGCGAGTCGCACGACTTGTCGGGTCGCGTGTACATACGGGACATTGATCAACTTAGACGAGGCGCACCGCTTCCTCAAGATGGTCGGCCTCATTCCCGCGCAGAACACAAAGGGCGGGCAGCGTTCGAATGGTGGGGCTGCCGGCCTTGCCCCCCGCTCGGAGATTGAAGAAGGGGCCCGGGCGACGACCGCCCCTTCCGTTGTCGCGGGGTGTCGGGGGAGATGGGCCCACCGGACTGACCTGGCAGGGCGAGGCCGGCCCCCTGCGCATTCGCGCGCCCCAGAGCAGGCGGCGACGCCGGGGGCATGCCGGCCGACGCGGCATCGGAGTTCAATAAGTTGATGCAAACAGGCCACACGGCAATGACTACACAGACAGCGGGTGCGTTCGGTCAAGGAAGCGCCCCAACGGTCTCGATTGGCATCAGTGGCAATGGGCGCCCTTCCGTCGTTGTGCCGATGCTGCGAGGCTCCCTCGGCGCCGACGCAGTGGCCACGTCGTGCCGCTTGCTGTTCGCGCCAGGTCGCCCTGTGGAGCCTCGCTCGCCGCCCCCCGTGCAGCTCGAGGTCCCGCAGGGGTTCAAACGCTGGCAGTGGCCGAAGCTATGGGAATGCGTGGAATCTCCGCTGGGCCTGCCGAGCGAGGCGACCAACCACGCGCTTGCTCGGGGCGCGCCCCGCCCGGCGCCCGCGCACGAGACCCAGGCGACCCAGGAGGAGTCTGACGCAGAGGATGCAACGGCTTAGTTACAGAAAGCGGGGGGCCTGAGATGTAGCACGCCTCACCCCTAGGCCTGCTCTACTTCTACCCGAGCCTGCCTAGCCCCGCCCGAGGCTCGCCCCAAAGCCCTAACCCTACTTACGTAAAGCCCCTGCCCAAGCTTACCCAGAGATTATTTGGGCCAACCTTCCGGCGTTCCCCAAGACCCATGCCCAGGGCCTGCCCTGGACTTGCCCCGGGGACCTTGAGTAAATTAGCCCAGGCGACCCTGAGTTTGTCCATGACCACCATGGAGCATGTAGTCCCTTCGACTACCATAAGTCTTTGGTGAAGCGACAGGCGAGCCCCCCCCCCTCGGGCTCTGCACCTGCCCAGGAAGACCACGTCACGTCCGAGCTGGGCCCCCGTGGATACTCCTTGCGTCTCGTGGACGGCACGATCACGAGGCTCCGCTTCAGGAACCGCGGCGGCGTGTTCGAGCCGGAGCTGCGCACGACGAACCGCGACATCCCCGTGACGCAGGGCGTGGACGTGAAGAGCATGGCCAACCGCGTGCTCGAACACTTCAAGGTGAGCCACGCGGTAGCGCCTTGGTCAGAGGAGGCCCGTCTGACCTTCAAGAGCTTCCAGATGGTGTTCGACGCGCAGTGCGCGCTCATGCGGATTTTGGGCAATGAGACTCGCGCGGCCTTGTTGGGATCCAGCCCTTGGATGCTCGGCATGATCTCGGTGGCGCTGCTCATTCTGGAGATCGCGGTTGGCGAGGCGCCGATGGGTGGAGAGGCCAAGGTGATGGAGTGCCACGTCGCCCGGGCGTGGGACATCCTAGAGGTCTCGGGGCCCTGGGAATCAGCACCGCGCAAACGGGGGCGTTGGCGGACCCGCCCAGGCGGGGGGGACTTGGAGATATCCCGGCCCGTGGTTCCAGCATGCAGTCGGCTGCGTGGGCCCCCTTCAGGTGTTTTTTTCATTCGTTTTGTTGCGGGGCTCTCGAGGTCTTCCACAGCGTTCGCATCACCCTGGAGGAAGGGCGCGAGAGCCAGGAGGTGCGTGGGGGGAGAGAGAGAGAGAGAGAGAGAGAGAGAGAGAGAGAGAGGACCGCGCGGGGCGCCGCCAGCCGCAGGGCTGCCGGCGCAGTCCGGGTCGGCGCGGTCGGCGACGAGTGGGGCCAGTGGGCCTTGACCCAGGCTCAGCCGCGGCGCGCCCTCCCAGGCCGACCGTGGAATCAAGTCAAAATTGTTCCTTACCTAGGCTCTTCCTAGAAGGGTTCTTGCTCTATGTGCTTAAAGGGCCGGGCACTGGGGCTCGCTCCGGGCGGTTCCCCTGGCATCCGGCCCGCGGTTCCCCCATTTGCGCCCCCTGGGTTCACCCAGTTTAGCTAAGCTTAGCTTAGCTCAGCTTATCTCATCTTAGCTTAGTTTAGCTTAGCTTAGCTCTGTCCAACCTAGCGTGGCCTTAGCTAAGACTAGCTTAGCTTAGCTTAGCTTAACTTAGCTTAGCTTATTTCGTCTTAGCTTAGCCTAGCTTAGTTTAGCTTGGCTTGGCTTAGCTTAGCTTAGCCTAGCCCAGCTTAACTTGGCTTAGCTCAGCATAGCTCAGCTTACCCTAGCTTAGCTTAGCGCAGTATAGTGCGGCGCAGCATTAGCACATCATAGCATAGCATAGCCAAGCATAGCCAAGCATAGCATAGCATAGCTCAGCATATCATAACACAGCATAGCACAACATAGCGCAGCATAACATAGCATAGCATAGCAGATCATATCATTGCTTACCACAGCACATCGCAACACAAAATATCATATCACCGCATAGCATTTCCTAACATATCATAACATAGCGCAGCATACCATATCATAGCATATCATAACATAGCGCAGCAGATCGCATAGTATCATATCTTATCATAACGTAGCATAACCTAGCAGAGCAGAGCATACTATCATATCATAGCGTAGCATAGCATTGATATGTAGGTGTAGGTGTAGGTGTAGATGTGGATGTAGGTGTAGATGTAGATGTATATGTAGATGTATATGTAGATGTAGATGTAGATGTAGGTGTAGATGTAGGTCTCTGTGTAGATGTAAATGTGAGTCCCGCTGTTGATGTTGATGTAGATGTAAATGCAGGAGTAGATGTACATGTGACTGTCGGTGTAGATGTAGATGTTGCCTTCCTCAATGCTCCAACTCCTAGGTAGGGTCACACTGGGATAATTCGCGCCAAAGGGAACCGCGGGCCGCGGGCCCTTGATTCTCGGGGCTCGCCCACGAGCAGCGCCATGCCACGGGCCACGGCAACCGGGGAAGGCGCGGGGCCAAGGGCAATCGGGGCAGACACGGGGGGGAGACATTATCTGGAAGGCCCCTTATCAAAGTTGCGGTTCCGCATGGCAGGTTCCGACGTCGGCGGCGGCTCAGCGGGCGGCGGCGTCGATGACGAGGGTGGCGGCGGCCACCGCGCCAGCGGGCTGGGCGATCAAGCCAGCCACGGCGGCGCGTCGGCCGCGGAGGAGGAGGGGCCGCCGCTGGCGAGCGTGGCCAACGACGGCGCGGGAAACGCCGCAAGGGCGCCGCCGGCGGCGGCCGCGGCCGAGGGGGGCGGCGCGGACGCAGACGCCCATTTCCTGATGCCAGGCGACCCGGAGGCCCCCATCCATGGATGAGGGGCACGGCGAGGACCAGAGATGGCGTCTGCGCTGCGTGGGGCCGGCGTGGGCAAGGGCAAGGGGACTTCGAGCCAGGGTGGAGGGGCCTCGCCCAGCTTGAAAAAGCTTCGATGGATTCAGAGGGGGTGTGACATGGGGCGGGACTGCGCGTCGTTGATCGGCTTCCCTCAGGACGGCGCCTCGGTGCAGATGCAGGAGCACGGCGATGTGTTCCTCACCGACAGGGAGATTATGAAGAAAACAATTTTGCGAGGAGAACCCATTGTCTTCTGTTCGAATGCGCGTGGCTCCGTCCGGAAGACCCTGCCGAGCCAGGAGCCAGGCGCCCGCGGGAGAACAATCGCCCTCCGGCAGAACAATTGGAAGGCGGTCATGCAGGCGGGGCTCAGCCAGTATCACATTGGCACGTGCGACGACGGCTCGAGCGCGGAGGACCAGCCGGGCGCCCCGCGGATCCACTTGAAGCTGCCGCCGCCCGACCGCCGCGACCTCCACCTGCCATTCCACAACCGCCTGATGAAGCTGTGCGGCGTTTCCTTGCAGGCGTGCACGAGTGCGATTGGGGCAAAGGAGACCAGGAAGAGGAGAGCTCCGCCTGCCTCCGCCAGCGCTCCGCGAGCCGCGCGGCAGCGGGGGGCCGCGGTGCCCGGCGGGCAGGCGGGGGCCCCGCGCGGCCCGGGCGTGACGGCGGCGGCGGGCGGAGTAGCAGGAGGAATGCCCGGCGGCGCGGGAGGGGCCGATGCGGCGGCGACGGCCAGCGGCACAGCGCCGACGCCCGCCGGCGCGGCAGGCCGCGGCGCGGCGCCGGCGCGGGCGCGCCCCAGCCCTGCCCCGGGAGAGTGGTAGATTTTGAGTGGAGCGTAGTCGAATGAGAGCATGGGTGAATCGAACCGCCCACGCCTGCGCCAGGTGCCCGTCGGGATGCCAGGATGCGGGGCGCTTTCCGGCAGTTTTGGCCCCCGACCGCTTAGATGCGGGCGCTCTCTGGCAGTTTTCGTACCCGATCTATACCCTACGGCCTCAGCGCACCTGTACTAGGCAGCTCTGGCATGCTGGCTTCGCGCAGGGCGCAAGAGAGGAGGATCAGGACCAGGAGTAAAAGGACGATCCAGCTAGCCAGTTCGAGCGAGTCAATCATGGCATGCACATTCCCACCGTGATTCCCACCCGCCCTCCCACAACATAATTAAGAAACAGTGATGGCGCAATTGGTAACCGAAATCAATCGTCAAGGTGGTGTGCCACAGCTGATGAAGCCGCCATGGTGGGTACCGATGGGGAAGTCGTCGCCCGTCTCAATGGATGCGCTGGCACTTCAGCACGAACCGAGGATGCCCCAGGAGGCCCCAGGAAGCTTCAGGAGGCCCCAGGAGGCTTCAGGAGGCTTCAGGAGGCCGCAATTCGCAGTGCCGACGACAAGACAGGCCATGTTGAAAGGAAAAGCGGGGATTTTGTATTGAGTTTTGACAGTCAGGATGGGAGGGCCCAGATTGACGTTCGCGCGCGATGCGCGCCGCGTCCCATTCCTGCCACGCAGTCGCATCGTCGACGACAAGACAATCCATGTTGGGAGGAAAGACGGGCATTTTGCACTGATGTCACACAGTCTGGATGGGAGAGCCCAGATGCAACCGCCATCGGCCAGACAGAGGGGAGAGTCGGAATATGTACAAATAAGGAGTAAGAATGAGGAGGATGTAAGGATATTGCCATGCATTTTCCCGTCTCATGTCCCCATTTGTATACGTAAGTCCTCACAGATTGTTTGTGTTCACAAGTGGGCGCGCACATTTGAAAGACAGGCGCTCTGCGGGCGTGGCGTTCACGATTCGTGGCAGACCCGGAGCGCCCAGCATAACACCCGGCGCACCGAACGCACCCGGCGCCGAGCGAACCCGACGCGCGTGGCGCACCCTCCGCACCGAGCGCACCCAGCGCCGAGTGCACCCGTCGAGCCCGGTACACCCGGCGGCCCGGCACCTGGCGCCGAGTGCACCCGGGACACCCGGCGCACCCGGCATCGAGCGCACCCGGCGCCGAGTGCACCTGGCGCACCCGGCGCACCCGGCGCCGAGTGCACCCGGGACACCCGGCGCACCCGGCGCCGAGCGCACCCGGCGCCGAGTGCACCCGGCGCACCCGGCGCACCCGGCGGCCTTGCACCCAGCGCCGAGTGCACCCGGGACACCCGGTTCACCCGGCGCCGAGCGCACCCAGCACACCCGGCACACCCGGCGGCCGGGCACCCGGCGCCGAGTGCACCCGGGACACCCGGCGCACCCGGCGCCGAGCGCACCCGGCACACCCGGCACACCCGGCACCCCGCACAAACAATTGTTATGGAGGAGGAGGGGGGGACTTGTGTAAACCCAAGACTCGTCAACGATGTTGGAATAAACCCTCCCTCCAAGCTAGGCCCCTACAAGAATTCATTTTTACTGAGGGAAGTGCCCCGTTGAGAGACAACCGTTTGAAGATCCCGGACTTCAGTGCCACTCTTGCGTATGACGATCCTGAACCGCGTTGGCAAAACACCATTCTTGGGTATCAGCACCGCGAATCAACGTAATTGTCGCGCCCTAGCAATTTCGAATCGCTGCAAGACGCACATTCTTGTTCGGCAACCATGAGATTACGTCGAACCCTTGCACATGTTTAAGACGAGTGTGCGCGGCGCTAAGGTGAGAGCTACATCTTGAAACGGAGCCTCCCTAGCCTCCCTTCATCTGTGAAGCTCTTGCAGTTGTTTAACGAATATACGCCGCCCGCTATGTGCGAAACTGTTGCAATTGTTTTGGATGGGTGCGCGCGGCACTAAAGCGAGAACCACACTTTGAAAACGACCCGCCCTCAATGAGTGAAACTCTGGCACACTGTTACAACGAATGTGCGCGGCGCAGAGGCGATAGCCACATTTTAGAAGCGGCCCGCCCTTCATCTGTGAAGCAGCTGGAAATTCTAAGGTTCAGGATCATGAATGGTGAGGAAGTCTCGGGCGACACGCTTGGGCCGCCCTTCCGACTGACCCCGGGGTGCGACAGGGGGAAAATATGTATAAGGAGATGTGTTGCCGCGAAGCACGAACCACTGAATAGGATGAGGAGGAGGGGGATGCAGAGGATGAGGAGGATCAGAAAGAGAAGGAGGAGCAGGAGCAGGAGAAGGAGGAGGAGGAAGAGGAGGAGGAGAGAGATGATGTCAGCCTGGTGAGGGTCCAGCTTGCGCTCGAAGAGCATTCGGGGGGAAACTACATATAGCCGGAAAGGCGAGCGACGGGGTAAACATGGAGGAAAAGGAGGAGGAGGAGGGGGAGGAGGAGGAGGAGGAGGAGGAGGAGGAGGTTTTTTTTTTAGCTCAACGCCCACGCCTCCAAAACAGGGGAAGGCCCTGAAATGGCGCCAGCCACGGAGGGAGTTGCTGGCGCCTTAAAAGACCGAAAGCTCGTCAGAGTCGCATGAGTACTCGGCGGGCTGAGGCGCGAGGAGAGCTTCATCCTCCTCAGACCCACGAGCGTCTCGAGCCTGGCGCAGCGCATCTCTCTGAGATCGGGAGTCAGGTCGGTGCTCGGCAAGAGCAACGGCTCTGGGCTGGAAGAGAACTCTGGAGGCTTCTTCCTCGGCCCCGAAACGAGCAAGACGATCTAAATTATCGCTACCAAGCGCGCCGCCCATCGCTCCCTCGCCATACGGGTGAAGGAGGGGCGGCCGACTCGCTCGGCCGCGGAATGGGAGAGAGAGCCTCGCTGCCCTGAGCGCGGTTTTCACCTTGACCCAGGGGCGCGGCTGCCGCAACACAAGTATTGGACGAGGCGTCGCTAGCCTCGGGCAGGTTGAAGCACTGCATCAAAGCTTCTGTGTCCACAAGGACACCCGCCCTCCGCTGACTGTGTTGCGGATGTTGGCCCTTGCACAGTTGCACCCAACCGTGCTTGCACGCGCGCGAAGGAACCAGGGCACATTGTTTGGAAAATCCTCCGGTCTGGTCACCACTGCTGTGACACATGCATCTCAGACAGATGAGAATAATCGAGTTGATCGAGCATGGGAAAGCGACAGTTCGATGGCCTAGCGCATCCTGGTTATCCGCGTGAACAACCGAGGTGCGGACGCAGGAGCCTGGAGGTGGCCTCGAGAACAAACGGCTCCCGCGTAAACAATCGGCACACCTCCGGTTTCCACCCCAGGGCTTCAGTCATGACCGATGGGGAGAGCCTTGCCCGCAACGGGGTTTGGGGATCTCTCGACACCGCTGAGATCGAGATCGCGCCCATTAAACATCACGTGCGCAGCAACCGTGGGCGCCCCCCGCGCAAATTTCACCAGTCGGCCAGCCGCCTGCATCTGAGCCTCATCGTGAGGATGCAATAAAGCCGCATGCTCGGCGCCTGTGTCGGCGTGGTGGTTGCCGAGCCTGCGCCAGCGCTCCTGCGCAGAAATACCAGGGGGCGTCTAAATCTAGGTGGCCAGCGACCTTCGAACAAACCGAGACCGACGATCGCTGACCATGGCACTGCAGAACGGCCCCCGCATACATCTTCTTGGGGGAAAGTTGAAACTGATTGCCCTTCGCAGCTGTCTGAACAACGTCACTACAGTCCGAATAAACGCGGCACTCCGAAATGTCAGTCGCGATCGCCGGACTCCTTTGCAGCCGAGGCAGCATCTATGATTGCTTGCTCCGCAGCGTCGGCGCGGCGCGGTCTTCAACCACAGGGCCGGACGTGCACCCCCGCAGCCGATTGAAGACGGTGTCGCGAGCTCCGCAGTGGACGCAATCAGGTTCGATGAGGTAGCCGAGCGCCTCGGCACCAGCGGCAGTGAGAATGGCCTCCGTCGAAAAGGCCCTGATCCTGGTCTTCTGAAGGGCCGTGCATTGCTTACTGCGCTGGGAGATGGCTCTCCTGGCCACGCCGTAACAGAGGCTGGGCGGAATGCCGCGTTTCGCCGCGGCTTCTCCCTCGAGCACGCGGAAGTACTTTTCGCGGGCCAGGGGGCCCGCCGAAGCAGGAGAGAACGGGCCCAGGGGGTCGACTTGCCAAAGTCGCCACCCAAGGTAATACCATCTTCCCTTCTCCATCCCAGGCGGACACGAAACGTGCGCGTGGCCGGTATGGGCCCCGAGACGCGCCTCCAGCTGCAACTGTCGCTGGAACAAAAATAGCGTGCCATGCGCGCCTGGGCGCGGGGGGGGGCAGTGACCAACGGTAAGCCGACGTCTGACTGATCCGTGCCTCCTGACTCCATCTGAGAACAGGGGCAGTGGCCGTCCGCCAGGTCGGATCGCCATCCAAGTTGGCGCAGACGGTGAGAGACTTCAGTTGGCTGCGTGGACGCACCATAGCGGCGCAGCAGGCTGATGGCGCGAGCGTCGATGCTAGTGACCTCAGTACCGTAGGAGGTCCCTGCTCAGGGCCCAGCAGAGAAAACTTACAGGGCCGTGGATATGGGAATAGCCTTGCCCTGCCGCGCTAAGCGCCGCGCAGCTGTGCCCGCCTTCGCAACGCGAGCCTTGAACTTGGCCGACCTGCCAGCGACTCGAACGGCTCAACCAGCAGTATAGTCAATTCCGAGGTTGACCGTGGAACTTGAGCAATGCTGGCAGAGGTGGCTGAGGCTGGGCAGAACCTGCGAGCCAACGTGCGTCGAGCTCTCGACGATGGCCGCTTTCCCGAGAGCGAATGCGCAACCGAAAATATCCCCGGTCGGGGGTCACAGCCCCTGCCGCCGCCGCAGCCACAGCGACGCGCGGCCGACCAGTCGACGACAGACCTTGATCGTCGATTTGGACATCCAGGGCGGCGGCGCGGCCCAGGGGAGTGCTGTCGCACCCGTCGAGGCAATGCGCGC